GAAAGCGGGGCAAAAGAGCTGAAAAACCACGGGGGGGGGGGAGCAGTGTTTGGTGCAGACTTTAAAATCCAAGGCTGATCTTGACACACACGAGGGTGCAATAGGGGGAACTATTGAGTCGGCAGCCCCAGCTGACCTCCTCCAGCTGCCCTGAACCGCGAGCTGCCCCACTGCTCCTAAATCCAGCCCAGCGCTTCATCTGCTCCCATCACGATTCGCTGGCTTTGCTCAGATGTCTTACAAACAGAGGCCGCGCGCCGGGATAGGGCCCGCGGAAGTGCAGTTGGAAGTACAGAACAAGGGGGGCTGGCTAGGAATCCCTGGGAAACACCAAGCAACCAAGGGGGACGGGGTGTAAACCCCACCCTGAAGACCACTAGAAAATGTCAAACCCCACAGGATAGCTAATTAAGTCCAGCGTGCCCTACAACATCTACAGAAGAATAAAACGCCAAAGCAATCATCTTTTTTAACCGCTGAAGCCCGTAATATATAAAAGAAACTTTATTTGGGGGAAGTTGTTTTTGACGCAACAGGGAAAAAAGGCAACCTGTGGATTTTATTTTATTTTTCTTTTTGCAAAACCAAGCAGCCAAGTACATTTCATCTACTTTTTCATCCTTGCAGCACGCTTGCCTTTCGCACTGCAACTTCAGGCACTTGTTTGCATAGTTTCGAAGGAGACGAGAGACTGGAATGGAAACGCACCTGTTGATGTGCGTTTGAGGCGTGGAAGCCCCTAAGACCAAGGGTGGCTTGGCCCAATAGCCAGATCAGCTCCATCTCAGACGTCAACGGGAACACGGTTCCACCTCCTCAACCAATTCGGATTTCGGTTCCGACCAACTGGCTATGGTTAAAAACAGAGGGGTGGAAATATACTGAGGAAACTAGACGAGATCCCATAGGAAGGATACGATCTATCGAGGGAGTTTCTGAAGGTGCTGCTCGGTCCATGTGGGTGTCTTGTGCTTCGTGCCATGAAAAGTGGCTTTAAGAGCTCAGGACAAGGAAGAAATCTTGTCCACACAAGGCTATCTGAAAACTGATTTTAAGCTATTCAACCAGAACGAGCCTCAACTTTGTTAGGACCTCAGCAAGAAATGCAAGACGTGTCCCTAAATCCACATAAACCAAGAACATTTCTAACACTGACAATCCAAACCACCCTGGATATTTACCAGAAGGTGATGTTTATTAAGATAAAAACAGTTAAGTAGCACCGTCTACCATCCTCAGTCCTTAATGAAGCATACCGATACATAAAATATATATTCTTTCCTCCAGAGACTGGACTTTATCTTTTATCAATGGCCTAGAATGACAGACTGCATTATAATCCCCGTTCAAGAGAAATTCTGGCACTGCAAATCCTTGATTTTAGCTTGAAAAAAGGTGTGGATCAAATCAGAACCGCAACAATCTGGGTGACCACGGGATGGGGCATGGAGTTAGTGCTGCTGGACTTTGGCAACTCAGATCAGGCAGCCCTAGATGAAACGTGGGGCCGCCATAATAGATACAATACCAAGAAGGGGGTCCATGTGCTGCAGGAGATCCAGCTGCCTTGTTACAGCTTCTGTAGATTGACTGGCGGGCAGAGGTGGAGCGGAAAACAAGGGGAGGCTGGCCGTCACTCCTCTCCTTCCTGCCTTCTGAGAAGGGCGTTTGACATCCCTCTCGTGCTTCTTCGGGGCTCTTCCCTTCCCTGGAATAATCCGAACAAGCCGCCTCTGTGGGCGGAAGCTGTTCTCCCTCCTGGGCCCTCCTTTTTACAGCGGCTTCTTCTTCAGGCCAAAGACAGAGATGAAAAGCAGGATCTCGACAGCAGCGGGTAAGGCGCTGGGCAGGGGGTGAAAACAGACGAAGAGGGGAGAGGTCAGTACCCCAAAGAAGAGCGCTCCCCTTCCTGAGTTGGGGGAACCCCAGGCCTTCCCAGCCACATCAGCCACCACCCAGGGACAGGAGTCTACCTGCAGAAGCCCATGATGTACCAGTAAGTGACCGTCTCCCAGCGCTCAAAGACGAAAAAGGAGAGGCAGACGGAAGCACTGCAGTGGGCAGCCAAGGCTAGCAGGGAGCCGTCAGGGAAAGGATCTTCTAAAGGGGGGGCCTGCCTAGAAAGCAGGCCCGCAAACGTCAGCCGTTCACACGAAATGACCCCCAAGGCTTATCATCTATTTTGAATGGGCATGGGGGGGAGAACAGAGGAAAAGTCTTTAACTTCAGGGACTGAGGTGAGCCGTGTTCCAAGGGTCACAGCTGGGTTACCACAAAGGCCTGGTGCACGCAGCCTGCTAAGCCAAGGGCCGTGTTTCTGCTCCCTGCAGAACCACAACTATTTGGCTTAATGGAACCTGCTGTACGAACACAATCGCTAGTCATTTTCTTCCATTCTCAAATCCACCCCTAACATTCTCCCCCCATGAGAATAAAAATATAAACAAATAAATAAACAAACAGGCAAGATCCTGTAGGCCGGCAGCTCCCTTGGGCCCCCTCCCACCGTCCCTCTGGCTCCAGGGATCCCAGCCGACCTGCAGAACGCAAAGATCCACCAGTACAGGCTGCTGTCCCACTGTTCAAACAGGAAGAAGAGCAGCGTGACTCCGGCCGAAGCGTGAGCGGCAGTCGCTTGGAAAGAGAGGATGCTCGGTCACGGAGCAACAACCACTCAAGGCAGCCACACCCACGCCCTGGAGTGACACTGATGACTTCGGGGTTTGGCAACAGTGCCCCGTTTGGCAAATCCATCAACCTCTGGACCAAACGGGCTGAGGGAGGAAGACACTCAGCCTTGCCCCCTTAAATTCCCATGATTCTTATTAGTGTTTCTGCAACTACTCTATGGTTTATTCTAATTCATACACTCACTGACCACCACACAAGTTACCATAACACCAATAATCATTGATGGTACTTATATTGATGATGCAATGCCATGCAAGCATTTTAGAGCATGATGTAGGGGACATTTTACAGGGGGGGAAATTTGCAGGGGCAGAACCGATAAAAAGAAGGGCCTAAAGCTTCAAGCAAAGGAAGCTTGTAAACCACTGAGTCGTTTAATGAGATGGGCAGTGACAAATTCAATCAATCAATCAATCAATCAATCAATAATAAAAGCTACCAGTGGAGAAGTGGGTTCAGCCGGGAAGCTGAGAATCAGAACTGATGGGACGATTCTCGGCGGCCAAGAAGGACAGAACTCGGAGGCCTCTAAGGAAACGGCTTGTGGTCTGTAAGCTGAAGCGTTTGCTGGAAGTTGCCAAAGTCCTGGGCTATGGAAATGCCGGGGAGGCTCCAAAGGGAGCCCATCTGAGCAACACCCGAGAAGACTTTAGTGACCACAGATGCCCCCTCAAAGCCCCACCTCAAAGAAATCCCTCATACCAAGGGAGGGCTGCCCTTCTGTATGAGCGACCTTGGATGACTATCGACGGAGTACGATCAATAATAATCCCTTTAATAAAAACAAGTGACCCTAATCTGAGATGTTGGTTTCATGTAGGGGCTAATCAATACCATTCTTTAATGATCACGTAGGACTGATCAACCGTTCAGAGTCACTGGGAATCAGGCGGCATGTAAATGTAGTATTATTATCATCATCATAATCTAAGATCAGCTTTGCTTTTACCACCTTTTGGGCAATTTGCTTACATTACTTTATGTTGTGGCTTAGCTCTCCTGCACTGCAAGTAATTTCCGAAGCTGCTTTTTACGGGAGTCCTCCCTCCCCACCCCACTCCCTCTGCTTCACCTTTGCTGGTCCCCGTTCTCTTTGTAAAGGATACAGAGGAGGCTCTGCACATTGTTGAACATGGACACCCCGGAGAGAAAGCCAGCCAGCTCCACCGCAAACAGCCCGAGGGTTACAGACAGGGCCACCACCATCCTGGAGAGAGAAACACCACTGGAGGAGGCAGGCCAAGGACAACCTCCCCAAGCTGAACTTCCAGATAGATTAGACTGCAAATACTGTCACCTAAGTTGCAATGGATTGGGCGAAGCAGACAAATCATTTGAGTTCCCTGCCTTTGCTTGTTTTTAATGTCATGCAACCATGCCTACACACCTTAGCAAAAACAGGAAAACATGAAGTGGCAGTGCCCTGGTTTCTCTGCTTTTTAAAAATGCCCACAGATGGTTAAATATCCTGTGGGCCAAAGCAAGGGAATACTGCAATCCAGTGTTTCTCAACCTTGGAACCTTAAAGATGGGTGGATTTCACCCCCCAGAATCCCCCAGCCAGCCTTGGGAGTTGAAGTCCACCCATCTTAAAGCTGCCAAGGTTGAGAAACACTGCTGTGAGCTGTTCTCAACTTTGCCCTCCCCACTTGAGAATGGAGGGCGAGACCACTGGATGGAGCAGTATGAGCCAGCTTATTTTCCCTCACTTCTCACGATCTTTAAGATAGTTCTGCATTAATGACTGGCCTCTATTAAGATCAAGCAATAGGACTTTCCTTTTTCTTTTTCCCTCCCCCTGCTTTTGCAAATTCAATAAAATCTTTAAAAATCGAGCCATGGGAGCTTCTGCTGCAATACAACAAAGAGCCCAATGCTGGCTCAGATCAGAGCACACCCAGCTAAGCCACCCAGCACCCATGCGCCTCAGCAACCAGCGATGACAGCCATTCTCATTCAGCGGCAGAGAAAGCCAGGGACTTTGAGACGACAACACTCATAGCTGTCCCAGAATTATCTTTTTAAGATACTCTGGAAAAGCCTCTTACAACAAAACGGTTGTCTCTGTTTCCCAAAAAACAAGTGGTATTGGGACCAGGCATCTCTCAAGGGAGAACCTGTTTTAAATTCAGGCTACCCCAGCCAAGATGGCCCTGTTGCCTGACATCTTCCCACCATATTTAAATTTGAAAAATAAACAAGTGTGTGTGTGTGTGCGTGTATGGGCTGGGTTTAGAGAGAGCCTGTTCTCTCAAAGGCCATTTCCAAACAGCAGCAAAAGTGGTTTTTAGCAGCAGCAGCAGTCCCAGGTAGAGCGATTTACTCAGTGTCTCGGCTGTCATATTCCGCTTGCGTGCACTGGAGAGGGAGGGAAGCCCGGACATTGTTTTCCTGGAAAAAAGGAAAGAAAACACTGGGGAGAGGCCAGCCTGCAGGAACAGGCAAGGCTCTTTCTCTCCTTTTTAGAGGCATTTAAAGCAGAGAGCTGGGCAGCAAAGCACAGCCTCTCCACCTGTTTCTCCACCCACTCAGGCCTGGAGGTTTTGCGGAGGAAGAGAGAGGCAGGATGGATGAATGAAGACCCCCTTCTTCTCTTCAGCATCCCCAGCCGGCGCACGAGGGAAAGGGAGGAGATGGCGAGGAGCTTCTGGAAGCATCCAAGATGGGCTGAAGGGCTCAGGAGACCCTGGCTGCAGAGCAACTCTCCTCAAACTAAAAAGGGATATCCACTCACGAAGCATCTTTCTGTCTCAAGCTACAAATCCCTTTCTCCTTTCCTTCCCTTGCTCTCCTGGGTCCCACCAAGGCTAGCATTCCAGCAATGCCAAGCAAACCCCCACTTCCTTGAGAAGGGGGCTTAAAATAACCTCCTCAAAGACTCAAAAATAGATCCGTGCTCTTTTTCAAAAGGAACCCTTTTAAAAATAGAATGAGACTGGAGGGGGGGCAAATTTGGGAGGGAGGGCTCCTAGGGAACCTGAATCGAAACTAGGAACGCGACTCTCACCCTGGACCAGAAGATGGTGATGACAATGACCAGATGAGCTGTGAGGGTCAGGAATCGAGAGGGAACCAATCCGTTGACCAGCGGCATTCTCTCCCTGCCTGCAAAAGAGCAAGAGAATCCTCACAGCCCAAGGAAAACATCTGAACGGAAACATTTAGCATGGGCTGCAGAAATGCTGGCTTTGCAAATTAGCAAATGCATGCAGTTCTTAAACATTTAAACAGCAAGCGGCCATAGCAGAAATTAAAATTCAAAAACGGCAGGAACTGAAAGGCATTTCATGGGCAGGGGAAACTCCCCATCAACAAACGATCGTCATCAAACTAATGAGAGGTGGTCGTGCCGGCATGTACACTTATTTTTGATGCAAGGGGTTTGGGGGGGGCGACTCTTCCGATGGCATAATTTTCCACTGACGTTTAAAATCACACACTTCTGAAGAGAAGGGATTCTCATTGTCCTGAGCTCAAGTCCCGCCATAGCCACGAAGCCAGCTGGGTGACCCTGGGCCAGTCCTCTCTCAGCCCAGGGAGGAGGCCGGGGCAAACCCCTTCTCAAAATCTTGCCAAGAAAACTGCAGGGACTTGTCCAGGAAGTTGCCCGGAGTCAACTGACTCGAAGGAACCCCCCCCCACCTTTATCACCTGAAGAATGTTATCATGGAGTTTTATTATGAGGGTTTTTTTTCTCCTGCTAATTTTATGAGTAGGTCAAGGGGATGTGGTGGTGGTTTTATTGCCAGGTACCCTACTTTAATTTGTGTACAGCAGCCTGAAGGTGACCCGTGGGAGGACCGGAGCAGCCTGACTCCGCAAGGGCAACCGAGTCCCGCGGAAAGCAGCACTTTGATTACAGCACGCTCAGGGCCGCCATCTCTGGCGTGCGGAAATCCCGACGGCCACGAGAGGCTCTGCTGATCCCCCCTTCCAGAGATCCTGAAGTCGTTTTAAGGTGCCTAAACAAGAAAGTCAATGAAAAATTAATACTTCTTAATAATAAAAATAATTTGTTAGCAAATTCATGGCCCATCCTCAGCTGTGGAAGCTGGTGGGGTGACTTTGGACCAGCTGCTTTTCTCTCGGCCCAACCTACTTTGCAGGGTTGTTGTTGCAGGGAAAAAGGAAGAGGGAGCGCTGTGTAGGTCGCTGAGAGCTCCTGTAGGAAAGGTAGGCTGTAAATCCAATAAATCAACAAATAGACCATTCAAAGTCAGTGGGAATTTGGAGAGGAGCCTATTTGTGCCAGTTTTAATTGCCCGCATCCCTCCAGTTTTTGCAGCAGATGAACTTGAGTTAGCCCGCTTGCGGGGTTTCCGCCAGAGGGAGCCTCAAATTAACCAATCCGGCCGAGTTTGGTTACCCCACCAAACACCAACCCAGGTCAGCACCAACCGCCATCTCGCATGTCGTATGAACGTACCAACATTTTACACCTTATTTGGCTCTGGGTCCCCACAGATGCTCTCTTGCCCGCCCACCTGAGCGACCAAGCACCCAAAATACAAAGTCCCGCCCAAATCCCACGGTAGCCGACAACAGCAAACCGCCGCCTCGTATACCCGCCTCTCGCCCGCAGATCAAGCGAGCTCCCGTGGTCTCTCAGGCTTTCAGCCTGGTCGCTAGGCCACACCGTTGCCAGTGGCAACCGCCTAGGCCCAGCCTCTCTTTTTCCTCCGGGGATGAGCTTCAGGCAGCCTCGCGAGAGCCTGAAAGCCTACTCCGGCGGCCATTTTGACTACGGGCACTTGCCCATCGCCTTAACCTCTTCGTGGCTGCACTGCTTAGCTTACTCTCTTTCTCCGCGGGAACGCAGCAGATTTCCACCCACCATCCCCGCGAAAAATACCTGAGCGAGGTAGCCGGAATATTTAAGCGAGCGAATAGATATCTGTCCAAGTTAGGAGCCAACAGAAGGAATGGAAGACGTTGCCCTGCAACAAAGTTTTCCTGCACCCGCCCCATGATTCCTTCTGCATCTTTTAAACGGGGATCCTTGACGGCAAGAATCCCCTCGTTTGCATTCAAGTGGGAATCCTACGAAGGCTTCTCGGGTTAACCTTTATAATTTCATGTTTAAGTATGGGAGGAAAAGCGTGCATTGCCCAGGAGATAAAACGAAGAGATGTCTGGACATTTTAAAAGCAACCCTTTTTACCTGCAGAACTTTTTTTCTTCAGGCATTGACTAATTATATCCGATAAATCCCAGAGGATCCAATTCGGGAAAGGTGTGAAAAAAAACAGGCCAGAGCGAGCTGTGATGGCCGAGTGGTTAAGGCGTTGGACTTGAAATCCAATGGGGGCTCCCCGCGCAGGTTCGAATCCTGCTCACAGCGCATCCGTTTTGCGGGCCTGTCCGTCTGCAATCGCGACCTCCTCCTCTGTTCCTCGGCTCCCCCCCCCATTTGCAAAAGCACCCTCCTTCCCGCTGGTCGCCGTTCCCGCCAGTGGAGTGAACAATCCGGTTGAAATGCTGAAATCTCACGACCGAGGATTGCAGAACTGAATGAATCCACCTTTTCCTTTTGCTGGTGCTGAAGATAAACCAGTGTTTTTCAAGCCCACGCCTCTTAAAGTGGCCAAGCTTGAAAAACACTGATCTGAACGGAAGGGACGCCTCAAGGTAATTAACAAAGTCTTTGCAGGCCAAAGCCGGGAGTGCATTGTCAAATGGAAGAAACTTTTCAAAGGCTCATGGAATGGAGCCGGTGTGGAGCAAAGGATTTAAACAGGAGAGAGAGAGAGAGAGGAGAGACTGCAAGGGTCCCCAAGCAGGCGCCCCCGAGATCTTTTGGAAGCCTGCGATCCCCTTCCCCGTCGCAAGGGGGCGCTGCGTCCCCCCATCCTTCCCACCGCGGCTTGGCAAGCCCGTTTTCCCCGGGAAGGCTCCCGGGATGCGGGAGCCCGGTGGGGCGGGCCGGTTTCTGCAGGTAGCCTCGGAGCGGGGCCCGCGTGCAAAAGTGGAGATGCCGGGGATTGAACCCGGGGCCTCATACATGCGAAGCATGCGCTCTACCACTGAGCTACATCCCCCTTCTCTGGCCGGGTTTGCACGGGTGGCTCTTGACGCGCCTCTCCGCAGCCTTTTCTAGACTCGCCCGGGAGCCATCGGAAGGCAGCTTCTGAGCAACTCCAGAGCGCTGGAGAAGCCCCGCCGCCTGCCGGGGGCAAAGTTGCACGACCGTGGGCAGAGGGAGGGCAGAGAAACCCCGCACGTCGCCCCCTTCCCCCTTCGCGGGGTGCTTTTCCGTGGCTTCCCCCGCCCCGCTTTTCCTAACTGGCTGCTGCGGGCGCATCCTTGCAAAGCGGGGGATTCTTTTGAGAAGAGGAGGGGGAGGATTATATCTTTACATACTGAGATGACGGAAAAAGGAAAGGCTCGCCAAGTGGCGCCGTGGCTTAGTTGGTTAAAGCGCCTGTCTAGTAAACAGGAGATCCTGGGTTCGAATCCCAGCGGTGCCTTTTCCGTTTTTCCTCCCCACAAATCCCCGGGTTATTCCGGATTTCGGCTTCCCGCCTGCAAAGCGTCCGCGAGGGGGCCGCGGTGCGGCCGTCCTGCCGAGAGCCGCTGTCGGTTGCCGGCGATCCCCGTGAAAGGCGCTCGCTTTGCATTTGTCCATCCCAGCAAGTCCCTTCCTGCTGTCTGGCAGGCAGCAAAAGGCCTTTTCTCTCCCTGGCGCGGAAGCCCCCTCGGCCGCCTTCCTGAACCCGCGGGCGGCCTTTCTCGCGCCCCCGCGCCCGCCCCATCGCGGCCCAGGCAAACCGCCCGCGCAAAACTCAGCGCTCGCCTGCAACCTGACGGCTGGCTTGGGGGGAAACCGCCTGAGACTGGGGCCCTGGTTGTGGGAAGGTGTGGGTGGAAAGGGGTAAAAGGTGAATTTTATGTAATGCGCCTGGCAGGAAGAAAAGTTGAGTTGCATTGGCCGGGAATCGAACCCGGGCCTCCCGCGTGGCAGGCGAGAATTCTACCACTGAACCACCAATGCTCGCTTGTGCGACTCTCTTTTGCAGGTGATTAAAATCCATGCAAGGAAAAAATGCAATACGAACTACCCCACAAATTCATTTTTTTTAATCTGTTTTTCCACCTATTACATCACCAACCCTCCCTATTTAATCTTCTCAGTCCCTTGGGATCCAGCTTGTCCTGCACAACGAGGCATCAGCCCCCCCTCCACACACCCCTTTGTAACTACTGCTCCACAGACCCCTGGGGGCCAGCTTCATCCCATCTGGATGATGACTCGCTCAGAAGTCAAGGGCATTCACCCCGCCGGAATGAGGTGACTCTTTTGCACACTTTGTTTTCCTCCGGGTGAAACCAACTCATTTATTTCAAATCCAAGAATGATTCAGAAACCTATTGCCACAGGGTTCTTTAAAGATAAAATACAACACAGTGCAATACAACCTTCCCTCTAGGACATTCATGGAAATGCAGAATGCAGGAGTATCGCAAGATGCAAAATATATATATGCACTTCTCTTTTTTCCCCCAGCACACTCACTGCTGGGTTACAGTTTTTCCATATTTATAGTCTAAATTGAACAAATTGGGTCGCTGAGAAGATACCAAAAGGAAGACATTTCCAAGATTGTCTTTGTGCCAAGAGATGCAGGGAAAACACAAAAAACAACCACAACCCACACATACACACACACACAACCCACCACAACCCACCACCATCCCAGAGAGGGAACTCGAGTCTTTGGCAACATTAAAGCCCATCAGATACAGTCGACAGAGCATCCGAAGGAAGTTTCCCAAAGAGGATGTGGGCCTCCTCAGGGCCACGGCCTCCACACGGTCAGTCCCGTGGAGCCCCATCTTTCCAAGAGTCTGCTCTGCGGGGCTCTGCGGCAGCCCTCCGGCGGGGCCAGGCTGGACACGCAGGCCTGCA